AAACGTACATTCTACAAAAAATTGTCTTCAAAACACCAAAGCCTCAAACCGAAAAGCAGAAAACGCCCACTCCACCTGCTTGCCACTAGTTAGTTGACAAATTCTGACAAAAAATGATCGACAAACTCCTCACTTTGAGGAACTGGATCGTCTTCCTCTCCGCTTATTTCGGAGTGGTTTTCCTGGTATTCTGCGCCATATGTATCAAGGGTATGTTCCTTAATGTTCTTTGTTTTTGCTTATTTGTGCTGCTTCCAGACATGTTCACTCTGATGTTCGAATGGACTCGAGATTATGTGGATTTGCCGCTTAAAAATCCCGCAACAGCCAAAACAAAACCCCGCAATCGACAGCAGGCATTTGCATCCGAAAACAAATTGAAATAAATGGCATTTATGGTTGGAAAACTATTTTTACTGTAAAAGTGGTTATTTTGGTGTATCTTTTGGCTTGACGAAATGATGTTTGGAACCAAACCCAAACACGATGTGGGTTCAAAGTGACCAGAATCAACCTAACACAAAAAATCCCCCTTGATCCTGCTTAAAAATTGCTTCAAAGAGGCCTTCAGACCAACTGATCCTCGGGGTGTCGTTTGTGCCCAACCAAATTCCTATCAAACTTCAATTAATACAAGTGAATGATTAGGAAAACCTCAAATTGAGACTCATCAGCATCGGCAGGAATTTAAAAAGACCTATTCAACTCCCTAGTACAGCTACGCCGAATTTCTGGGGAAACTTTCACGGGATTAAAATGCACAAGCCAACCTATGCCCTCAGACTGTTTTCTTTGAGTTTCTTTGATGCGTCACAAAAACGGGCCCATGAAACCCGATTTTTGCCAGTTATTTGCCTTTTCCGGCCTGAAATTAAAAATTCAACTTCCGCACGTCCTTCTTCAGCCGCCGGCGCCAAAATGTTTGCTCTCTGCTGATTTATAGTTGCAACTCGGTCGGGACAAATAAATAAAAGCCCAGAAATTGTTAGCGGTGTCGTTTTTTGGGTGCAAACATAGTTTTGCCGAATTACAGTGGTATACCGCCCAAAAAGAGGAAACAACCGGCTGTAATGAGCTGGGGTTTTTTCCCGTTTGCAGTCCATTCAAAAGGGAAAGTGAAACTTTCGGCTCGCGTTAATGCCATAATTCAATTCCCGAAGAGATTCCCGTTGTCTGATTAAAGTCCTTAGACGGGCTTCAAATCCGAGTCTTTATCCCTTGATTTAGTTTCTGTCCCATTCAGTCCTCTTAGTTTAGTTGATAAGGACGCATCTTCTCGACCGAGAGACCTATGTGAAAGTGTAAATTAACCTGTCCTTCTATGGGTTTCGCTTCGGGAAAATTGGATTGAAACTCGTTTTTTGTCTTGTGCGCTTTTGTTATGCGGCAATAACGGATCACACTCGGAAGCTTTCCGCACAAAGAACCTTCCAGGCAAGGCCAATTAAAGCATCCAACGAGTCGGACATTGCATCTAAATGCCAGCAAAATGCACTCAATTGACGCCGCTATCAAACTGGAAACTGCGGTAAAATTAACACACCGGGGGTTTTCGAATATTAATTCCTACTTTCAGTAGTTTTCCAGGCACGATTCCCGAATGCGAAACTTTCCTCATCTTCGTGTCGTATCAGGCAAACGACAATGTTAAACAGTTCTTTCCGCAGGGAAATAATGTCCCTTGCCGCGTACTTTAAAGATAAATACCGCAGGGAAGGAAAGAATTTCAAACAGGGTGAAGATAGTCTTTGCTTTGTTTTCGCCCCCATTTTAATTAAGTTGCTGCTTCAAGTGGGCGGTTCTTTAACGTGGCAACATTTCAAGGGAAATACACCTGCTGCAGTACCATTAAACGAGTCAAAAACAAGTACTTTTTTTACAAACTTCTTTTTGGGTATTTTGCCTCAAAAATTCACTATTGAAAAAGAACAAAATCGCCAAATTT